ACATTAAGGGACTTTTGAAGTGCACACACACACACGCACACACACAATTTTCAAAATTTAATTTCAGAAATGGTATTTTGTAGTCTGCTCTTCACAGAAAGCTAGAAATAATATAGAAGTAGAAGTTTATTCACGTTATAAAATGTGAAAGTCTCAACATATGCTGATTAAATTCTAAGCAGCCAGTTCATATGCTAAAATGCCAAAAAATGACACCAATGAAGATCACCAATGATTTTACAGAATCACTCAAATCATAAACTATAATTTCCCATAAGGTAAACATGCATCAAAATTATGAATGTTTTGCCAAAACCAGTTTGGCTCAGTGGATAGAGCGTCGGCCTGTGGACTGAAAGGTCCCAGGTTCGATTCCGGTCAAGGGCATGTACCTGGGTTGCGGGCACATCCCTGGTGGGGGATGTGCAGGAGGTGGCTGATTGATGTTTCTCTCTCATCGATGTTTCTGACTCTCTATCTCTCTCCCTTCCTCTCTGTAAAAAATTAATAAAATACATGCTTCAAAATTATGAATGTTTTACAATGCAATTTCATTGTTGAAATCATTTTGTGCGCACAGTTATTCTGTTGGAAAAAGCATGTTTATATTTTCATTTATAATTTAGCAATTGTAGTTTGTATGAAGTATATCAATTTAAGATTTGTTTAATTCTTTCTGTAATGGCATTATCACATTTTTTTATTTCTAGTAGATATCTGAAGTTTATAATTAGCTCTTAAATTCATTTAGAACAATCTCAACATGGTTTTAAAAAGTCTCCTGGGATCCAACATCATTTGGATAATTTGGGAAAAGTTCAAAATGTTAAAATAATGTAAAAATAAAATTTGTGAAATGGGAATGGAAATGAATTAAGCTCTTGATTTTTCCTGTGGGAAATAATCTTAATTTTATGGGAAAAAATGCTGGTGGTACTTCAGGTAACAGTTTCAGCAAAAAATTTTTTTAAAGGAGTCTATAAGATACAACAAGTTGGACTATACAATCAGTAAACGGTTCAGATCAGTTTGAACTCAGTAACCATCAAGGTCATTGTTTAAATCTGCTTATGAATAAATTACAGTTTTCATGTCAATAAAAAATCAGAGCCTCAGAATCATCTTGACAGCTGTGCAGCATTTCACACATTCGTATTTTCTTTTTGACATTTTAAAATTAAATTTACTGGGGTGACATTGCTTAATAAAATTATATAAGTTTTAAGTGTACAATTCTGTGATACATCATCTGTATATTGCACTGTGATTCCACCACCCAAAGTCAAATCTTCTTCCATTCCCATATATTTGATCCCCTTTACTATTTACTACCCTCCCCACCTCACTCTCCCTGCTAACCACCATGCTGTTGTCTGTGTCTATGAGTTTTTTTCTTATTTGTTCATTCGTTGTTTTCAGTTTTATATCCCACGTATGAGTGAAAGCATATGGTCCTTGCCTTTTTTCTGTCTGATTTATTTTGCTTAGCATAATATTCTCAAGGTCCATCCATGTTGTCACAAATGGCAGTGTTTCATCTTTCCTTATGGCTGAGCCGTATTCCTTTTACACAATTGATTTTTAGTGATGAATTATCAGATGGCATTAACTGCTAGTTTTTATTTTTCAAATGAGAAACTGTGCTCCCTATCCCTGCAGACTGTTTATGGTTCAGCAGGCTCCAATGCCAGATCAGGAGGGACTTTCACTTTTATTGTGTGCTTCTCTATGTAACCTTTACTTCAACTTCTGTTCCTTGCAGAAGTTGAGGTAATTTTTCGTAAGCCGGATTTTTATTATTGTTCATGATACTCATGCATTGTCTTTAACTCATAAACACCATGTTTAAGGTGGGAGTAAGCAGACATGTTCTGTAAAGGGATGGATAGTAAATACGTTAGTCTTTGCAACCATATGGTCCCTGCAGCAACTCTCAATTCCGCAGGTATAGTGCAAACACAGCTCTACATAAACAATGTGCATGGGTGTGTTTCAATAGAACTTTACTTACAAGGACATGCAGCAGGAAGAACTAGGCCATAGTTTGCTGACCCCTGACCTTAGGGAGTATCTTTGTGTAACAGCAGGGAGAGAAGAGTTTCGAGGACTTAAGAAATACCAACCTCTCTTGCCCTATAATTCATTAAGTTTCAAAGGCTCCAGGGATAAGTATTACAACAAAATGAAGTGCTACAGAAACCCGATTTGCTTTCACTGGTTGCTTTTATAATAAGTCAGTGTTGACGGAACAGTTCCTTTGCTCAGCAGTCTTCTACTGAGCCTGATGGTGCAGCCAACACTCAGTTGGCAATGGGTGTGATACAGTGTAGACTAAGCCTTGATCCCTACAACCGACACCTCTGGAAAGAGGAGGTATTTCAGGCTTTTAGATTAAAAATTGGTTCTCAGATAATGTTCAGTTTGTCCCCACCACATCAGCCATTTGTTCGTGCTGCCACAACCAACACTGTTCCTTCCTAACTCGGTCCAGGAGGAGGTGGACTACGCTCTCATCCCACCGCTCCCACCCCTAGGACTTTAGAAGTCAGTGTTTGCTTTTGCTCACTTTATTTTTGCTTAAGAAACGGAGATTCAAGTACCGCTGCCCTGTGTCCTACTTCTTTATTTTGAGGTTGGGGAAGGGCTGGGTTTCAATTCCTGTATCTTGCTGCAGTAACAAGCTGTGCAGCCATTTCATTTCCCCTGGGGAGGCAGCTGAGGTAGATAGAAGTGTATTTTAAAACTCCACTCTTTAAAACTCCTGCTTCTGGAGAACAGAGCACACAGACTGTAAAGGAAAGAGCAGTAGCTGCAATTTAAACATTCTTCCAGGGCACCACTGCCACTGAACTCTAAAAGTAACTATACAGATATATTTTCAATGCTCCATTCCTGCTTCTGAACAGATTTCAAGCAAATATTTCTAATTAATGGTATTATCAACTTTAACAGCTGATCCTATATAATAAAACCCTAATATGCAAATCAACTGAATGAAAGAAAGACCCGTGGCTGACACGCACTGACCACCAGGGGGCAGATGCTCAACACAGGAGCTGCCCCTTGGTGGTCAGTGTGCTCCCACAGGGGGAGCTCTGCTCAGCCAGAAGCCAGGCTCAAGGCTGGAGAGCTCAGCAGCGGTGGCAGGAGCCTCTCCCGCCTCCACTGCAGGCCGCTGGGCAGTAAGGAGCGAGGGATCTGGACTGTGCAGGCCAGGCTGAGGGACTCCCCGGGACTGAGGGGCTCCCCGAATGCACGAATTGCATGCATCAGGCCTCTAGTTAAATCATAAGAATTTATTGAAGGACTAGGACTTAAATTCACCACATTCAGGTTAACTAATTACGTCTTAAAACTTGAAGATAAGAATAATTATTTCATACACTGCCGGTGTTCATGTCCCAGCACCAAGAAGGGTTCAGGAATCTGGAAAAGGCTGTGCACAGATGACATAGAAATCCAGAGACTAATAAAGAGTCCGGAGATGAGATATAATTTTGAAAGGCATTGGGGGTCAGAGGACCTTCAGCTAAAGGAACTGAAGACTCCCTCCTTGTCTAGGACCCTTGCTTTTATTAACACAATTTGTCCTAAGGCAAGGTGGAGATAATACACTTCAATGGGTAAGGTTTCAAAGGGTACAGAGTCCATTGTCAGAATGGGGGAATAGCCTACGGCTGTTCAGGTGTTTGGCCAGTAGGAGGCAATAACATGTAGATTAAGATGCCCTTTAACTGTCTGGCAGCCACAATCAGTTTCCTATTCAGGTTTGGGGAAATGCCTTTAGCCATTCCCAACAGATGACTATATGTGTGACTCAACCCTGTTGAGTCCCCAAGTTTGAAACTCTTAAAATTATGACATGCTGGAATTGGTCTACGGCAATACACTGTGAATCTATGGCTCTAAAATTCATGGTAATTCAGTAAACTAGTTGAACTCTGAATTCCTTGGAAGATGTAGTAATTAACATTTTGAAACAATAGGATTTACTCTACTTGAACTTTATGCAACCAGTAATTTTTGTAACTTTTAAACAATGATGGTTATGACAGTTTAGGCCATTCATTGTGACCAAATTTGTGTGCATCTTTCTAGGGAAATATTTATAATACTAGAGGCCCAGTGCATGGATTCGTGTACCGGTGGGGTCCCTCAGCCTGGCCTGTGCCCTCTCGCAATCTGGGATCCCTCAGGGGATGTCTAATTGCTGGTTTTGGCCCTGCAGGCCAGGCCGAGGGACCCCACTGATGCATGAATCCGTGCACTAGGCCTCTAGTATGCATGTAAGATGTTTGGTTAATATCCTCCCACCCTCCCCTCTCCCCCCTTCTCTCTGAGATTCATCTGTCTGTTCCATGTTTCCATGCCTGTGCTTTGCGCGTCTGCCTCCTGGTGGTCAGTGTGTGTCATAGCTACTGATCAAATGATCGAACGGTCTAACGGTTGAACAGTTGAACGATTGCTTAGGCTTTTATATATATAGATTTCCTAGGTGGGACATTATATATCCACTTTATTCTTTGGTAATATGTTACATTTTTCAGAATTCTTCCTCATTGGTAGGATACCCTATGTCTAAATGATATACCATGCCCCTGTAAATCTATCATCAAAATAAAAGAATGAAATTATCAGATTACAACATTCCTTAGAAGACTTCGAATTTAGAACTTTTATGTATGAAAGCATATGCCATAGACACTGACCTGTTAAACAGATTAAGCTGGGACACAGCTCAATAGTTGTACTGTTAAAATTGGCTTTAGTGTAGAAGCGTAGCAGTGTTAATGCCTCCTAACATGACTTAAGAGTCGACCAATGACTGTGCAAATGAAATAAAATTAATATCGGTCATAGATGCAGTTCTAGCATCAAGTTGGAATGAAACAGCCATGCCTTCTAAAGCTTAGGGTGCAGTTCCTAATATAGCCTGGGATGAACGAGGGAGGAAACCCATTGGTGGGAGATCTCACCCTGGCCGCTGTGTCCTTCCCCAGGATCTGTCACTGCGAAGGGGATGAAGAGAGCCCCCTCATCACACCCTGCCGCTGCACGGGCACCCTGCGCTTTGTCCACCAGTCCTGCCTCCATCAGTGGATCAAGAGCTCAGACACGCGCTGCTGTGAGCTCTGCAAGTATGACTTCATAATGGAGACCAAGCTCAAACCCCTCCGGAAGGTACAGTATTTGTAGGAGTTGTTTTGGAGGAGAGAACTGGTAAAGCTGGCTTGTTTTAAAAATCCATTTGTTTCCCCAGTAAGATTTTGCTAATATGCTAATATCCATGAAGAGTACATGCCTCGTGTGGGAGTCAGAGTGTAAAATGCAGCCAAGTGTTTGCAGATAATGCTTCCTTCTTCTCTGTTTTTTATATTCCAGAACCTCTGATTTTTACATCACTCTTCAAACTAAGAAAAAAAATATAGTGTGTGTATGAATGTTTATTCGTATATGTGCCTGTGTGGATATGTATATATGTGCATATATGTGTGTGTGTGTGTACATGTATGTGTGTGTATATATACATATGCAAAATATTCTTGTAATTCAATGTAAATGAATTAATGGGAATTAATGATTTTATTAAATTAAAATCAACATTTTATTTACTGAGGTCGATTCCCAAGAAGGTTATATAATAGATTACATTAAATAATATGAACTTATCGAATTTCTTGAAAGTCAGGCATTAAGCTAATAGAAGAGAATGATTTTTTTATAAGGTGTGGACTCTTCTGTGTTTATCTTTATTTGGGGATTTGGTGTGGAGGTTCACATATAATTAGAGTATATAGAAAAAGTATTATTTTCCATAATGTTCACCAAACTCTAAGACAGAGGTAAGTATACTTTTACCTATAAATTTAATCCTCAAGTTCCTCATTTATGTTATATTTTTCTAAAGAATAAATAATTATATGAGTAAAATATAAAATTAGCATTTCACTCAAAGCTAGTGGAGGAAATCTTGTAGAGGATGCAAAGAAAAATGAACTTCATGTAATTCATGCTTGATGGCTGGGCCCCTGGATTGTTGCACGGAACGTATTCAACTTTTTACCCAACTGCAGCCTGACATATCTGGATGCCTCGATTTCCAAATGAGAGTGTAGAGACTGCGATTTAAATAATGAATCTGCCTATAGCTGCTTTTTTATTTGAATTAAATGCAAAGAAAAAGTGTATAAAAAGAACATTGCTTAGAAATGAACATGATGGGTTTGGAGATGAGCAGAGATGTAAAGCAAACAAGAATATTCCAATAGTCATCTGACTGGTGGCTGGCCAGCTCAAGTCTTCATTAAAAATCTGTAAATTATGGAGAGAGAGAATAGCATCCCCTGCCTTTGTGGGAGCCTTAATTTTAAAATTCTGCAAGTGCTTTAGAAATGTCAAAACTGATGCACAAAATACCTCTGGGAAACACATTGTCTTTTTTTTAACATCTGGGGTGATTCGAGTGCAAAAAGATGACACTATGTTCCTCTGGTCCCAGAGCAATCAAATGACAGAAACAGAAATGGGCCCTTACTCCTTGCCCTTTGCTTTATCCACTGAACAGATGCTATGTGTTGTCTGGAGAAGCTACATGACACATTGTGCTCCATGATTCTGTAAATTTCTCTTCTGACCCTCCAGGGAACTACAAATTATTTCATAGCATCTGTATATTTCTCCATGTTTTTTTTTCTTAACCTACATCTATATAAAATTTTCATTTCAACTTTGTCAAACATAACATTTCAATTTGAAAGTTACAATCTAGAATAATAAAATATTCACATTTTATCTTCTTTATACTGTCTACCCTCTCCCCCATTTTGTATAATAAACAATACATGATGCTATATATAACTTGAAAAGTATTCTTATTCTACCTTCATCTTCTATAGAGTCATCCCTTATATACAACTCTGATCCTTTCTTAATATTTTATTACCAATAATTTACAAACCCATTGGGAAATTCTATTTTTGCCTCAACTAACCTGTTTACAAACTAGAGAAATGCAGTGAATACATCTACCCTTTTTAATGAATATGAATATTCATTACATACTAAAGTAATATATTCTTAGTAATGAATATGTTGTGGCAACCTACTGGGCACCTACTATCTGTTGATTAATGAAATATCCTAGTTTTCTTATAAATATTTCCTGTGAGTGGTCATAAATATTAATGAAGGACAGCATGTCAACATCCTTCATTTTTAATAGCATTTATATATCTACAGAGGATGTTAGAATCTCATCCGGAGGTTGCTTCCTAACAGCCCACTGATGTGTTTTATTTGATCCACAAAGATTAAAATTTGAATTAATTACCAATATTTAAATAGGTGATTATATTATGTAAAATTCTACACCTCTGCATTTAAAAATCACAGTATCTGGTTTTACTGGAACCATATTTCCATAGGACAACAACCAGGGAGCTAGATGATGGCTAGTCCTTTCTAAAGGCTATTTGCCTTTAAGTTCTCCACATTCCTCAGCCCTTTCTCTTTTTCCATCCTGAGACTTTGTGCAGTCTCCACTCATATGAGTACTCTGTGGTTCTAGTGAAGGTATTTGAATTTTCAACTCCTGGTCTAACACATGACTCCTAGACATACATTCTATTCCTACCTCTGTGGTTTATGGGTTAAAAACTTAGAAAAAGTATTTCAAACTTTCACTTTCTTCCTTAAACCTATGGGGCACTGGGATAATACTTAAACGGCAGTATCCAAAATAAATTTTCGGATTCTCAGGTGGTACAAACTATATAGATTTGAGGCATTTCAAAACTTTTCTAGATGGTTTGTTTTGATGGCACTAAGATTCAGCAACAGTTTTGTCTTGGTAGTTTTTAAGTGGTCGTCAAGAATGACAGGCATAGCTCTAGCCGGTTTGGCTCAGTGGATAAAGTGTCAGCCTGCGGACTGAAGGGTCCCAGGTTCGATTCTGGTCAAGGGCACATGCCTGGGCAGTGGGCTTGATCCCCAATGAGGAAGAGTGTAGGAGGCAGCCAATCAATGATTCTCTCTCATCATTGATGTTTCTATCTTTCTCTCCCTCTCCCTTCCGCTCTGAAATCAATAAAAATATATTTTTTTAAAAAGAATGACAGGCATAATAACCCGTGGACACAGACAATGGGTGGTGAGGGCCTGGGGTCGGGGGTGGGGGGTCAGGAGCAGGATGGAAGAGGTTAATCACGGGGGAGGAGGATCTATTTTCAACAATGAAGATTTTTTTTAAAAAGATGACAGGTATAGCATTTGGTTAGAATATATTCGAAATATATCCAATTAATTGCTCTCAATTCAGTAATTCTATTACAGCTTATAACATTCTAAAGACCAATCACATGAAACAATTACTTTAGCTAATGATTCTGAATTTCTAACATTAGCCAATGGAAGTGGGATATTCTGTTGAGATGAAATAGCTTCTTAAAATAGAAAGGTGTGAAGCTTCATAATCTGATGAACATTGTTGCTTAATAGTTAGTCTCTAAAGATATCAGCAAAATCTTACTTCATTAATTGCTAATAATACTACATGAAAAGCTATAGTTAGTAAATTCCTCAAGGTATGTTAATGTTTCCAGATGAAAACGTTTAAAATATAAATTAAATCAAGAGCTTATTTGAGAAAAAAGCAATTTTTATCATCTTTAAGTCAGTAACTCAGCTACTTATATAACATTTAAGAAACGTCCCATTGCCCTAGCTGGTTTGGCTCAGTGGATAGAGCATCAGCCTGCAGACTGAAGGGTCCCGGTTCAATTCTGAACATGCCCAGGTTGCAGGCTCGATTCATAGTAGAGGGTGTGCAGGAGGCAGCCAATGAATGATTCTCGTTCATAATTGATGTTTCTATCTCTCTCTCCCTTTCCCTTTCTCTCTGAAATCAATATAAACATATTTTTTTAAAGAAAAAAAAATCTCATTAATCTACTGAGTTACCTGCATCAGAAATAATTGCTAGGGCCAAGAAAAAAAAAGCCAAAAATATAGCAAGCAGAATGACAACTCAATGAAATTTCAAAATGGACACAATATCAGTTAGGAAGCATAAACTAACTAGAGGCCCAGTGCATGAAATTCGTGCATGGGGGACGGGGATCCCCTCAGCCCAGCCTGCACCCTCTCCAATCTGGTACCCCTCAGGGGATGTCTGACTGCCAGTTTAGGCCTGATCCCCAGGATCAGACCTACACCAACAGTTGGACATCCCTCTCACAATCTGGGACCACTGACTCATAACTGCTCACCTGCCTGCCTGCCTGATCACCCCTAACTGCCTCCCCTGCTGACCTGGTCACCCCCAACTGCCACCCCTGCCAGCCTAGTTGCCCCCAAATGCCCCCCTTCGCTGGCCTGGTCACCCCACCTACCCCACACAGTTGGCCTTGTCACCCTAACTGCCCCCCCCAGCCTGGTCACTCCTCACTGCCCCCCCTGCCACCTGGTCACCCCCAACTCCCCCCCCTGCAAGCCTGGTCGCCTGCTGTTTGGTCATTTGGTCGCCCCTCACTAAGTCCCCTGCCGGCCTGGTCGCTCCACGCAGCTTGTTGGGTCATCCGTTTGGTTGCGATGGTCACTTAGGCTTTTATATATACAGATATCCTGTTCTGAAGTTGAAGAATTGCATAGGGCTCAGGTTTGAATCACTCCTGAGTGGGAGAAACCAGCTGCTGGATTTGTAGCTAAGCTTGAAGATAGCAAATGCTACTGACAATTTATGTCCTCCCCTAAAATGTTCCTTTACATAGCTTTCCATATACAACTATTTGACAAATATATACCACAAATACTCAACTCTATGTATCCATTTATTCCTTGTCTCATTTCTACAGATAAAATGAGGCAGTGAATCAATTACCTTTGCTTTAGTAACAATTTGGTTGAGCCATATGCACTTGTCATTTTTGCAGATCAAAAATAATTGAATATTGGAAAGCTCATAATAGATAAGTTCTGTGTGAACTTATTATACCAAATAAAAAGGAATAATCATTTTGGTATTTGTACATTTCCACCATAATGACTTATGGTGATTTAGTTACAATATCTTTTTTTTAATAAAGAACTGTACATGGCAAATACTATGTTAATTCCTTCCTTTCCTAATTTGATGTAGCATCCCATCTTTTAAAAGAACCAAGAGCCTATATAAGCTGCTCTAG